GAAAGAAGTGAAATAATGCAAAAAACTAACAGTAAAGAAAAGGAGGATGCTACGAAATCTGACGAACTTCCTTCAGGGTCAAATTCTACAGAAGCATTGAAATTGGATAACACTGAGCAGTCGTTAGGTGAGAATAATATAAAAACTATGATTGACAACGAAGTGTTTCATGAATATACCACCAAGATATTTGACTTAACTGGAAAAAGCGTGACTAATTTTCCGCATAATATTAGGCAGATGTGTTTAATACTTAACTCTGAAGCTGATTTCATGGAAGACGTCATTGCAAATCCAGCAGCAGATGAGGATATAAAAAATTTCTTTTATGAAAAGTCGTTGGACCATGTTCAAAACATTATGGCAAGCTTCTCTCGCAAGTGGGCTTCACAGTAAAGTTTTCTGACTGATTCGATAGATCAGAGATGTTTGAAGACTTTATTTAATATAAGCATGGAATTTGTATAGCCATATCTTTGAAGTTATTAAAATATTTTATAAAGTCATTTTTAAAACAACGAATTCAACTAAATTCAATTTATTATAGTCTTGATACATTCCATTTTAATAAAAAGTGCAATTTTGATGTTTTAAATTATTAATTTCAAAAATTTATTAAAAAGTTCAATTTATAAGAAAGAGAGAGTTTAAGTGAATAGTTCAGCATAAAAGCCTCTTAATACTCAGATAACTTTAAAATAATATTAAATTTAATTTTAATATTAAATATGTTAATATATTTAATACAAAAACATTTTAAATGTTAAATATAAATATATTAAATTTGAATTAAATTTGAGTTGATATATTATTTTATCATTCTGCTAAGAATATTTTTTCAACAAAAAAAGAATTTATTTTCTTTAAAAATTTATTTAGTTATTTTTTTATAGAGAGATTTCGACTACAACAACAAAAATTGTTTTTATATTATTTTATTTAATTGAGTTTTTTGATACCATACAGCTGTTCCGAGTATTGTCAAATACCCATCACCAGTGGCCTTGGAATAATCTTGGAATAATTATATATAAATTTTTGTAAATTTATTAAGACTGCAAGTACTAAGGGTTGAACTTGTGCCCTAAAAATGTAACACTCAGAGTCAGGATACTTGACTTGTATGTTGGAACTTAGAGTTTTTTACTGTTAAAATTTATTAACAAATTCAGTTGCTGTGTTATATTAAGAGTAAATCATAAACCAGTTGTAGAATAATTAAATAATTAATTATATATTTTTTTTTAATTGTACAATTATTCTTTTGTGGAGGTACTATTTTACTGCCTGATTTTATTTCTTTCTAGTATATAGATCCATAGAATCTAGGAACTTAATATGGAGAAATCTCGTATATAATCTCGTAATTAAGAACGTTTTCTTATTATCTGTTTAAAGCAATTTTTTTATATTATATATTACATATTATATAATACGCATTATATATATTATATATTGGCTATAAAAGCTATGTGGCTATCTGGTAGATTTATCTCTTGAAAGTGTGACCGAAGTAATTTTCAATAACACCATATATTATAATGAAAGACGGCCGATACAGTTTGCTCCATCCGTTTCCTAACTATGACATGACAATGGCAGATATATGAGTCTTTGTATCTGCTGGCAATAAACTTTCTTTTAGCAATGAGACATTTTTATTATTAAAAACCAGAAACCATTAATACCTAAATATATTTATTGTACTTTTTATAAATTTTATAAGTTCATAATTTATATAAATTTAATTTCGAAGGCTTTTATCAATTTTAGCACATTCTAGGGCTGTAAAACTTTCTTGAAGGCATAATAATATCACCTAAGTGGTTGTAATGAACCTTTCTTTTGGTTCGTATAAAGCTGGGGTTGAACTCAGCCGTCCCCAAGGTCCACACAAGAAATTTATTTAATGAAACCCTGTCACTTCTGATTGCTCCTAACTTCTTAGCTGCAAATAACTTGGATCGAATATCACAGACGCAATGGAATCACTGACAGAAATAGACACGATATAATACCAGTACACGTGACTATTAAAGCTACGTGAGTGGTATTACAGGTCGCCGATCACACGCCCTTCCCTGTTCACTGTTAAAGCGCCCAGGGGCCGGAGACGTTAGGTTACTATTAAAGCTACCTATCGCTTCCGACACTATGGTATAGACTCACGTGACTGTTAAAGCTACGTGAGTTATACCCCGTACAACCGAGATTCAGATACTATTGAAGCCCTGAATCCTGCTTACCTATATCTACCAGTCGTGCCGCTGTATATATTAACAATTCTTTAATTTACTTCTTTAATAAATCAACAACCTCAGTTCTTTGTGTATATTTTTTAGTTTTAAAATAAAATTTAAATTTTCACAGATTAGTAGTATTTTGCTATAAGTTATTTATTAACAATTCTTTAGTTTAATTTCTTAGTAAATCAACAACATTAGTTCTTTGCGTATATTTCTTAGTTTTAAAATAAAATTTAAATTCTCACAGATTTGTAGCAATTTACTATAAATTATATATTAACAATTCTTTAAATTCTCACAGATTTGTAGCAATTTACTATAAATTATATATTAACAATTCTTTAATTAAATTCTTTAATAAATCAACAACATTAGTTCTTTGCGTATATTTCTTAGTTTTAAAATAAAATTTAAATTCTCACCAATTAGTAGCAATTTACTATAAATTATATATTAACAATTCTTTAAATTCTCACAGATAAGTAGCAATTTTCTATAAATTATATATTAACATTTCTTTAATTTAATTCTTTAATAAATCAACAACCTCAGCTCTTTGTGTATATTTCTTAGCTTTAAAGTAAAATTTAAATTTTCACAGATTAGTAACAATTTGCTATAAGTTATATATTAACACGGTAATCTCTGCTGATGAATCCAACACCACAATTTTTCTCGTACCCTTAGTCGCCGAACAAAACAAAAAAGACCCCACTTCTTCCTGCTGCACGCACTTTTATACCATCAACGATCAACGGAGCCAGCTGTAAGTACGTTAAAGTTCAACGACCGTTGATCGAAGCTCGTTAACTGATCCCTCTGCAATGCACCAGTGACAGTCCAGCTTTAGGGCGAATTCCATATTTTACTCTTGTGGAAGCTGGAACTTGTTTTTTTTTTTTCTTTACGATTTGACCTAGTTCCACAACTTTGCACCAAAGCTTTCTTAGTTTGACAGTTCTGTTTTGATCTCGTTTGTTGTTTATTCTTTTTTTTTAACAATGTGTTGTGCCAGTCGAAATGTTTTTAAAGCGTGGCTCTTTTTTTCCTTCTAAAAAAAACAAATTATAAACAAATAATTACGAGTACAATTGATAAAACAATCAATTTTAGAAGAAAAATCTGTGAATCATAATGCATATTAATTCCATTGCTGGATGTCTGTTGTTGTGGGGTGGCCCGTTGTGTTTTTGGTGTGGCGTGTATTGCGGGAGGCTGCGGTGAGTTGGTTAAGTTAATGTGCTTATCCGTACTTAACAATTCCCTTCTTTATTGCAGGAACCGTCGATTATATGTATTCAAGTGAGTGTTTCTTTTATTGTGTAGGCAGCTATACCCACGATGTTGTAACGATCAAATTTTTGGTTGACAAAATTTTGGCCGTTACATGGTGAAGCCATTGTCTGCCAGGCGTTAGACCTTCACAAATAATATGTATTTCCAGCTTTTATTTATCCATTCTACAGAAAAACTACAGACATCAGTACCGGAGAGCCCTAACTTATCTATGTGACACTGCGGGTTGCGGTATTCATTGAAGTAACCTGATTAAATCAATAACACAAGAATAGATATTAATTCTAGATTAATCTTTTGTTTAATCTATAGATCAAGCAAGGATGAATTGCTGGTGATGAGGATGAAAATAAAAAATAAACAAAATCTTTACATATTGATAATGTAAACAGAAAGCATATTTAATAATTTTTAATCGTAATGGTAAGCATTTTAAAAATTTGTCACCTAAACTATGTTGATCCAGCAATTACCGCAGAGATCTGATAAGTAGTACAGTGCAACATACAATATTTGTCGCCTTTATATTCAGGTAGAATGAAAATGACATATGACATTAGATAAAAAAAAATTTTATGGGATTAGAATGATTTGGAAAGTGTATTATATGACGTTGGATAAAAGGAGAATTCATCATTAAACTTCCAAAAACAGTTCTTTGATCAGATAGGTGAACAGTAACCCGTGAAAATCAACCAAAGCTAGTAACGATACAATATCTATATCGAAAAAGGTATACTATTTCTATTTTGGAAACCCACGGTATAATATTCATAATGATTTCTTTTGATTTAGTTAAGTTAAAATTGAGTAGTCGAATAGAGTTGAATAAAATCATTTATATTTACTTTGCTGAGAAGAAAAAAAATATGCATATGTCATCGAATTGATTTTATAGATTTTTTATTATTGAATATAAAATGTAACACAGCTTCAATATATTTGATTGAGTATCAAGTTGACTAATTAATGTAATGTGTTCTACGAGTGACCAAATTAATTCACAAACCAGTATCAGCCTCGTAAAGCAGTGGCAGATGGGCTCATAAATTAAAAATCTCGCATAAAACAAACTCGATTATGTGTGGAAATAAGTGCTAAATCAACGAAACGAGCCTAAATCATGGAAGATGGGCAGTTTTATCTCATTTAAATTAGGTGCGTATAGAAAACAAAAAGTTTCAATGACAAATTCATAAACAAAATGCAATTTGGAGCTTATAGGTTTTAAGGTGTTTCTTTTTTTTTTTTTTTGAATTTTCCGTAGCCATTAATTTGGAGTAGTTTTCTTGCATCTTTAAATGACTTTATTTGCTTAAGTGTTGACTGCATAAAAATTGAACTAGAGATTCTGAGATCATATATAAATAGTCCAACGTTCAATAAAAATATAAACATTCGATTTAATTTGTCAATCAGAGCGTGTCTTGTCGGCTTTTATTAAAAAAAATAAATAAAATGCGTGCAATAATTGTAAGTGCTTTAATCTACAAAAAAAAATATCCTTTGTATAAGGAACATAAAAAATAAATAAAAAGAACAAGTCCTCGACATTTGATTTAAAAGGACAAAAAGGAACTCCAATAAATAAAATAAAATCAAAAATATCAAATGTCCTTAAATACAATACATGTGTAGTGTGAAGTGTAATATTTTTAATATTATAAGGAACAATAGTGTAGTGAGATCTATTGTTATAATCCTGGAAAGAGGAAAAACTTGATAGAATTTCAAATCATAACTTGTCAATAAAATTAAATAATAAAACTTTTATTATAAATAAAATAGAATAATAAATATATATTTGCATATATATATATGTACATGTATATATTTATACATATATTTCATTAATGTATATCTAATATTTTAAAAATATTAAAAAATTCTTAAAATTCTTAGTGTTCCCAATTTTTTAAAATTAAATGAATTTTAATTTTGTTTATATATTTGTTAATCAAAGAATATATATAAGTTATAAATCACATAATATATTAGAAATAGTAATCCTTTTCTTATTCATATAAATTAAAGTTTCTCATATTATTCTTCAATATACCTTACAGATTTTATGTTTGTTAGCAGTTGCCTGTGCGGATAAATTAGGTTATAATTACCAGCCTGTAGCGCATTCAGAACAAGGTCTCTCGTTCGTTCCAGGTGCCAGTGGACATGAAATACGTGGCGAAGCTCTACTATCACAATCACAAAGTTCATCTTCTCAACATGCATCAGCACAACAATCATTAGTTCAACAAGCTCCCATACAACAGGCATCCATACAACAAGCACCTATACAACAGACATCATCTCAAGTGTCCCAGCCTGCACCATTAATTGAAGAATATGAAAAAGAATTTTATAGTTATTCTGCTCCGGAAGAAGAATTTGATGATGGTGCATCTAATCAAAGAAGTAGTAATTCTTTGAAAAGAAACTTACGTGTTTTATTCATAAGAACACCAGAAAATCAAGGACTTGCAAATGCTGCCCTATCCTTAGCCAGACAAGCTACTGATGAAAGAACTGCAATTTATGTCCTTACCAAACAAGCTGACGTTGGTAATTTAGCTAAACAACTTGAGAATCAAAAGTCACAATCAAGAAGTATACCTGAAGTACACTTCGTTAAATACCGCACACCACAAGATGCCGCTCACGCTCAGCAGGCCATACAGTCGCAGTACAACTCTCTGCCTGGTGCTTCACACAGCGACCAAGGAACCGCTAATGTTTTGAATTTTGCTTCGAAAGCCACTGGCCCAGCTACTAACACTGCCCCAGCTAGTCCTCATGCGCAATATCTACCAGCAAACCCGGTGCCAAGTCAACAGTACTTACCATCTAGTTTGCGAAGATTGCGTTTATAAAACTTTCGAATTATTACCACATTAATTATTAATAATCTTGGTTTAGGTTGTTGTTTGTTGACTAGTTTATATTAAAGCGAAAGCGAAAGCAAAAACAAATTACAAATTCAATTAAAATTGTACTTTCTGGTATTTGTGTGGACAAAAGGATAACAGTTCCGAGCAAATTTACTCGCGTAATTGAACATCCCAACTGTAGTGCCGGCCCGAGCGCAATTTGTATCTGTGTATGCGAAGATTGCAGCAAATTAAAAGCTTTTAAATTTTCTTTGGGAAAGTTTTTGCTTGAGTTAGTGCTGCTGGCAAAAGTTTTACTATTACAATGAAGGGTATCCTGCAAGGTTAGCATTAATGCCGGATTATAATATTTAAACTTTTAATAGTGATGATTTGTTCAAACAATGCTCGCCACTTAGTGAAACACTTTTGCATACAAGAACAAAAGGATTCGCTTAGAGAAAGTGTTTGGAGAAATGTTTGCACTGACTTTTCGCGATCCTGAATTTATTTTTGACTTTAAACCTTACAGGAATCAAATGTTCGTTAAATAAGACTGCAAAATTTACTTCAGAAGTCTTACATAAATCATTACTTCGAGGGTCATTATTAAGTCACAACTTCCTCATTTTTGTATAATAATTTTGTTACTTAAATGAAGGCATGAAAATCAAAGGGACAATAGCCAATAATAATATTAATTTTTTTTTAATAGAAAGTTACTCACTAGAAATCCATTAAACCCGACCTACAAATATTTGTAAATACTCGTAATTATACTTATATTATATTATTGACTATCTATGGCAAACTGAACTATGATTATGACAGAATAATTTAATTTCCAGTAACCGAAGCTTAAATATTTTAAAATGATATTAAGTAACTTAAATTAGGAAATTAGTGGAATCATATACAGCATACAGCAGAAAGTTGAATATCAACAGCATATTCATAGAGCCCTAGCTGTAGGGTTGTTGATTGCGCTTAATAGAATTGATTTCTTTAATCTTATATAATAAATTTAAAAGAAGATATTACCAAACAAATCTAAATACATTTTTCGTCTATGCACAATAAAATAATAATGTTTTTAGACCACTTCTTTGATTTTAATATAAATTTTAGTAGAGAGCTCACGAACAATAGTAAACTACAACAACAAAAAATATTTCAATTTTTATAAAATTATTATTATTTTATAAAAATAATTGTTGTTGTTCATTACTATTTGGAACCTCTCTATTAAATACCACAGTTTCTGTTAAAGTTAAAAGTAAGTTTAGTTAGGTTCAAGTATCGTTAATTTAAAGACGTCAGAGCAGTAGGGGATTTGGGTATATCATGTAATATACCTCCAGCTCAAAAAGTACACGGATTTTGTTAATAAAATACAAATTTCAATTTTATTCCAAATTTATTTTATCTCCTTCAAAATATGCTCCTTCTGAAGCGATACACATATGCCAACGCTTAACCCAATCTTCCATACACTTTTTGTAGGCCCGTGAAGGTATGGCTTTTAGTTCCTTCGGCGACCACGAAGGGACAATTTGAGTTTCGGGAACAGAAAAAATTCACGCGGCGCCAGATCTAGCGAATATGGTGCCTAAGCGATGACAGTGGTGCCGTGTTTGATCAAAAAATCGCGTACAACAAGAATTTTCCATAGTAAAAATCGCTAAATGCACTTGAGGTAGTCTCACATTAACAGCTGTTGTAAACAAACTCATTGACAGATGGTACCATATGTCAAGAAAGAGTGTACCAACATAACAAAAAAAAAATTTGAAAAAGGTCTATTACTTAAGAAGTATTTAACAAACAACAAAATCCGGACACTTTTTGAGCAGAAGGTACTTTATTCATTGACGAAAGATATTACTAATAATCTGTGTCTCCGTTGTATAAGTTGTAATCCTATCTCTTTGTGATCGATGTTGACAGTGTTTTTTAAAATATTTTTGGTAAATAGATTAATACTAGAAACACAGAAATATATTTTTATAAAATATATTT